CTTTAGGCACTAAAGCCAGCTGGGTAACTTTGGGCCAATCAACAGGACGCGGGGAGTTCTAGTCCAACCTTAGGCACAAAAGCCAGCGGGGTAACTTTGGGCCAATCACCAGGAGGTGGTGAGTTCTAGTCCAACCTTAGGCACGAAAGCCAACTGGGTAACTTTGGGCGGATCACCAGGAGGTGGTGAGTTCTAGTCCAACCTTAGGCACGAAAGCCAGTGGGGTGACTTTGGGCCAATCAACAGGACGCGGTGAGTTCTAGTCCTCCTAAGGCATAAAAGCCAGCTGGGTTACTTTGGGCCAATCACCAGGTGACAGTGAGATCTAGTCCTGCCTTAGGTAGAAAAGCCAGCTGAGTGAGTTTGGGCCAATCACCAGGAGACAAGGAGTTCTAGTCCTGACTTAGGCACAAAAGCCAACTGGGTGACTTTGGGCCAATCACCAGGAGACGGTGAGTTCTAGTCCTGACTTAGGTAGGAAAGCCAGCTGGTGACTTTTGGCCAATCACCAGGAGGTGGTGAATTCTAGTCCCACCTTAGGCACAGAAGCCAGCTGGGTAACATTGAACCAATCAACAAGAGGCAGTGAGTTCTAGTCCAACTTTAGTAACGAAACCTATTTGGGTTACTTTGGACCAATCAACAGGAGGCGGTGAGTTCTAGTCTAGCCTTAAGCACAAAAGCCAGCTGGGTGACTTTGGACCAATCAACAGGAGGCGGTGAGTTCTAGTCTAGCCTTAGGCCCGAAAGCCAGTGAGTAACTTTGGACCAATCAACAGGAGGTGGTGAGTTCTAGTCCAACCTTAGGCAGGAAAGCCAGCTGTTTGACTTTGAGCCAATCACCAGGAGGTGGTGAGTTCTAGTCCAACCTTAGGCAGGAAAGCCAGCTGTTTGACTTTGAGCCAATCACCAGGAGGTGGTGAGTTCTAGTCCCACGTTAGGCACAAAAGCCAGTGGGTAACTTTGGACCAATCAGCAGGAGGTGGTGAGTTCTAGTTGCTTAGGCATGAAAGCTGCGTGGGTGTCTAGGATAATCCCCAGGAGATCGTGAATTTTAGTCTCATTTTAGGCCTGAAAGTGGTTGGATGACTTTGGGCCAATCAGTAGAACATGGGGACTTTGTGTCTCTTCTTAGGCATGAAACCTAGCTGGGTATGTGACTTTTGGGTCAATTACTAGAAGGCTGTGAGTTCTAGTTCTCCTTGAACATGACAGCCAGCTGATTTACTTTGGACCGCTCGGGGTTGTTGTGGGGAAAATAGGAAATTATTTGAGTTATTTGTAAACAAAATAAAATAATAAAATGCTGGATGCATATAAATAAATAAATGATATCGTAAGCCAGGTTTATTTTGCATTTGTTTATTCTTTTTTTTAGGACACTGATCAATCTGTCTTACTCTGCCAGCGTTCCTGATATGTTCGCCTTAGTGACCAGCGTATTACAGCAGCTCAGCGAACCAGAAGCTATTACAGACTGGTATAGTGGTGTCTTTTTCCCCCCCTCTATTTTTTCCTTTCCAAATATTTTAAAAACTTTGTTAAAGTATAATGACACCCTCATCCTGAGCACGCTAAGTGGCATCGATTGGCTGGACAATTCAGCTTAGACTGAGACAAGAATGGTGTCAACTTCACCCTGCGTCAAAACTCCTCTTTGAGCAGAGTCTAAATTGGTAGATGACACCCTAAATAATCTTGTGGAGCCTGCATTATATTGCACAGGTAGTCCTCGACTTAGCCAAAGGTTATTTAAGCATCAGAATCTCTGACGCCGAGCAAGGAGGTTATTTAAGTAAGTGGCACCCAATGATTTCATGATCTTTTTTGCCACGGTTGCAAAGCGAATCTCTGCAGCTACTAAGGGCATTCCACGGCCGTTGGGCAAATCCAGTTTCCCCCGTTGAGTTTCCTTGTTGGAAAAGCTGGCTAGGAAGATTGCAGATGGTGATCGCATGACCCCAGGATGCTGAACCGTTGTAAATGCGGGTAGTCCTTGACTTACGACCAGCAATTGAGCCCAAAAATTTATGTTGCTAAGCAAGGCATTTGCGAGGTGAGTTTTGCCCCATTTCATGACCTTCCTTGCCACAGTTGTTAAGTGAATCACTGCCGTTGCTAAGTGGGTATCCCAGGTTAAGTGAATCTGGCTTCCCCCCCATTGACTTTGAGTTGTCAGAAGGTTATGATCTCATGGCCACTGCAACTGTCATAACCATGAGTCAGTTGTCAGGCATTTGAACTTTGATCAGATGACCACAGGGGGATGCTGCAACGGTCATAAGTGTGAAAAATGGTCATAAGTCACTTTTTCTGTGCTGTTGTGACTCTTGTAAATAGTCACTAAATGGACTGCTGTAAGTTGATGACCACCTGTGCATGCCAAAGACCCAAATTTTGATCACATGACTGTGGGGATGCTATGACAGCGAGGGCCACTTTTTCAGTGCTGTTGTAACTTCAAACAGTTGCTAAACAAATGGTTGTAATTTGACGACTACCTGTAAGTTCAGGCTCAATCATGGTCTTAAGTCAAGGACTACCTGTAATGGCAGGCTCAATCCCCGTCATAAGTCAAGGACTACCTGTAAGTGCAGGCTCAATCATGGTCTTAAGTCAAGGACTACCTGTAATGGCAGGCTCCATCACCGTCATAAGTCAAGGACTACCTGTATAGAAAGGCCCCTATGGGGAACTTTAGATGGGAAACCTTGAAATATCACTAACATTCAAGGGATATTCTACCATGATGGGTCATCAGACTGATGATCCAATTGGATCTTTGTGGATCATGACATGAAGACAAAATGTGTTTAGAAATGAAATTCTGTCCGTTACAGGGACTCCCAGTCAACGTCATTCCCTCCATCGTGGACCATGGATTTAGAAGATTGTAACAGGTACTCAAGCCTTTTTCCCAGGAAAATCTGGGCTCCTGTAAACCAAACTAACACCGTTGAATCACGGAGCTCTGAAGAAGAAAAATTGGGAGAGGTGTCCGCTACCGAACTTCGAAGAAAGAAGCGCTCATGGCCACTCCCAGGCCTGCCTTCCTCTCCACCCTCTCATGAAGTTCTGAAGCCCTTCGATCCACAAAACAAGGATTTAAATCGTCAGTCCAACATCGTTCCTGAATGCAGTAACGCTAAGAAGCAAGTCTACATCCTCCAGCGGGACCATTTCGCATCCCAGGTCTGGGCTGAGTTTTACGGAGGACACCAGGAGAGCATCGCGGGAGGTGGGCTAGGGGCCAGCGACACGGAAAAACCAATTCGGCTGTCTCACACTGCGACGTATGGGATATGGCAGCCGATGATTCAAGAGAATGACTTGTGTGCTAAAAGAGGCACTTACAAATCACCCCAATCCATGTCGCCCCTATTCTCACTGCCATTTCAGCAAGAAAATAGTGTCCCCGAAGCAGCGAATACCGACCTGCACCAGCCAAATTGCCCCAATAACCCGTACACCAATAATGTTCAAAGTAAAAATTTGAGGTGTCCCCTCCAAGATTCTACAAATCGTTTACCTCCTCCACCCCCAGGTTTCCATTCATCATACAGTGGAGATAAATGCCTCAAAAGCAGAAGTTTAAATCCCTCAAAGGCATCGTGTGTACTTTACAAAAAGCCAATAATGCCAATGTATACTCAGCCACCTGAGTCTTACGGCCACGGCTTCGTTGTCCAGCCTTTTGGCTCCCAAACGGCCCCACAAAGATGCCACTTTCTGCAAGATGAGGAGTTTCCCAGTGGCGGGAGAGATCTAAGTTCCATCAGGCGCTCCTGGGTTGACCGACAAGCTCCTAAGGAGAAACCCTTGGGCAAAAATATGAGAAACACTTCCTTCCGTGATTGGCCACAGCGTCCTCCCAAAAACAGGTTTGCGAAATGCCACGGATCAAACAATGCCCCAGACGGAGGCCACACCGGTCAGAGAACGGGGCAAATTGAGAGCTGGGATAAAATGAACCCGTCCTTCGTAGGTCGGGACTGGACTCCATTGCGTGTGTTGAGAAAGTTTCTTGCATTTCACCCACATCCATCTTTCTCCGCCGATGATCACGACGACGTCATCCACCGTTTAATTCATGTTATCGACGACCTTTGCGGAGGTGCCTCTGCGTTGTATCGTCCCTCCTTATCGCAGCATTGCCGTCACAGATTGGCCACTAATGATAGCGAGCCTGCCCGCACACTCTATGTGCATTTGGGAGGATGTTTCAAACAGTGGCAGATGTTAGAAAGAGAGCGAGCCAAGGTGAGAGAGGGGTTATTATGGGACACACGTCTTCAGGCTGAACACCTTCCAGGCTGGGTGTGTGTGTGTGTGTGTGTGTGTGTGTGTGTGTGTGGAATTTCAGGAGCTGGAATTCCCTGTCAACCCACACTGAGAGGGAAGCTCTGGAGGGCTGGGTGGAAGCATGCGCATCCGGAGAGCATCCAGATTGAGAAGGATAGACCGATTTGAATGTGGAAAACTTGGTGCTGGTTTTCTGGTAACCATTTCATGACCCAACTAGGTAATGTCATCAGTGCTAGAACGGGAGGGGGCAGAGGTGGTGTTCAGCCGGTTCTGACCAGTTCTGGAGAAGCGGGAGTGGAAATTTTGAGTAGTTTGGAGAACCAGCCAATCCCACCTCTGACTGGCCTCACCAACCCCATCTCTTCTCTGCCTCCCATTAAGTCTCAGCTGATCGGCTGGGTCTTCTTTGGTTGCCCTGCACAGGAGGACAGAGCTGGAAAGCAGGTGAGTGGGTGAGGAGGGAATGAGAATTTTGCAGGATCCTTCCCCTGCCATGCCCAACAAGCCATGCCCACAGAACCGGTAGTAAAACAAAATTTGAATCCCCCCACTGGAAGGGGGAGGAAGAGGAGGACTGTGGAGTCCGTGATGTTCCCTGATCTTGGTGGTTCTTGCAGACATTTCATGACCCAACTGTGGAATGTCATCCATGCTAGAAGGGAGGAGGGGTTGCTTTCTCTGTTCAGCACATAGTTGAGTCGTGAAATGCTGGGATCTTCACGACCTGATTCTGGCAGCCCCTCCGTTGTGGTCCCGTGGCCATCTCATTTCACGATGCTTGTGCTGAAAAAGTGGCCCTGGGTTCCAGGCTTTCTCTAAACCAGCCCATAGAATTCCATTGGCTCACTTAAAGACGGCTGCATTTGGTTATCACCTGCTGCAGAAAAGGTCATAAAATCAGGTTGGTTGATCTATTTAACGACCATCACGACTTAGTTACTGGTGATAGGCCAGCTCCATTAGAGTCATAACTCAAGGACTACCTGTAGTTGAAGTATACTGTTTGAAAAAAAGAGACAGCACAGGTAGTCCTCGAACAGTTCATTTAGTGACTGTTCAAAGTTAAAATGCCGTAGGAAAAAAAAACCCGTTCTTCACACTTAACAACCGTTGCAGCATCACAGTAAAATTCAGGTGCTTGGCAGCTGACTCGTATTTATGACGGTCACAGTGTCCCGGGGCCACGTGATCCTCTTTTGCGACCTTCTGACATACAAAATCAATAGGGGAAGCCAGATTCGCTTAACAACTATATGACTAACTTAACAACTGCGGCGATTCACTTAATAGCTGTGACATTAAGAAAGGTCGTAAAACGGGGCAAAACTCACTTAACAAATGTCTCACTTTAACAGTTGAAATTTTGGGCTCTGTTGTGGTTGTAGGTCGAATTTTGTAGCAAAATTATTCTGTATTGTACCACCCAAATGTCTGGATGGATTCTGTGTAAGTGCCTGAGAATTAAATTCCAGCTGAAGGTAACGTTGTAGTTGATCCCTGGAGATTTAAGAAAAGGATTTGCCTTTTAAATACCAATTTGGGATTAAAGAGAAATTGCTATTCAGGCTAGAGCATACTCTGAAAATTCCTTTTTATTCTTCCTCCAGACAGAGGCTGATTTAGCAAGGGCTTTTCCTTGGAAACCCTTCACCAGCTCCAGCAATATTACATGTTTCCCCCTTCCAGCTAATCCCTCTCAAGTGGATTACCTGATTTGGATCCAGTTTCAAGAGCAAGCAAGAGTGAGTACTGCATTCTGATTGAACCAGATCCGCCCGTGCCTAAGGCGGGACTTGAACCCACAGCTTTCTGTTTTCCAACCTGGTGCTTTAACCAGTAGACCAAACAGACTCTACAATTAGGACAAATAGAGAAAAATGGGAGGACTGGCCATCAACATCCTATCTATCTATCTATCTATCTATCTATCTATCTATCTATCTATCTATCTATCTATCTATCTATCATCTATCTATCTATCTATCTATCTATCTATCTATCTATCTATCTATCTATCTATCTATCTCTATCTAATCTCTGTCTGTCTGTCTGTCTGTCTATCTATCTATCTATCTATCTATCTATCTATCTATCTATCTATTTGATTGATTGATTGATTGATTGATTTGTCAATTGTTTACAAGATAATAAGTATAAGTGTATACATAGTTATGAATACATGAAATGGGTACATATAAGAAAAATAAAAGAAAAATAAATTATACAGGAGGGGCCTGAATAGAAAGAAGTAAAGATAGTCCTTGACTTATGACCAATGTTGAGCAAAAATTTCTGTCACTAAGTGAGATAGTTAAGTGAGTTTTGCCCCATTCGATGCCTTTTTTTTTGGTCACAGGGCTTAAGTGAATCACTGCCATTGTTAAGTTAGTCACACGGATGTTAAGTGAATCTGGCCTACCCATTGACTTTGCTTGTCAGAAGGTCGCATTTTAGTTTAGTTTAGTTTAGGATCACATTTTAGTTTATTTTACTTTATTGTCAATGCACATCGTACAATGAAATTAAATACCATCTTCCGTGTATATTATGACTATGAAAATAAACACAAACACACACACATTCACATTCTATACATTGGATTGAAAACCCCTGACATTGCATTAATGTTGCTCTATACAGTAGAATTCAACAGAGCTACTGCCCTGGGATGGAACCTGTTTTTCAGCCTGTTTGTCCTTGTTTTATTATTATCCTGTACCATCTGCCAGGTGATAATAGTTCAAACGAAGGATGCCCAGGATGAGATGGATCTTTGAGAATATTTTGAACTTCCTTAAGGCAGCGGGAGCTATAAAGCTCTTCCAAAGAGGGGAGAGGGCAACCCATGATCTTCTGGGCAATGATGTTCACCCTCTGGAGAGCTTTCCTATCTGCCTCTGTGCAATTGGCAAACCATACAGAGGTGCAGTAAGTTAAGATACTCTCTCTGGTGCAGCGGTAGAAGGTCACCAGCAGTTTTCCATTCAGTGGTTGTTTCCTGAGAAGCCTCAGGTAGTATAACCTCTGCTGGGCCCTTTTGACCAGGGCTGCAATGTTAGCACCCCAGGTCAGGTCCTCTTTTAGGGTAACACCCAGAAACTTAAAACTGGCCACTTGCTCCACTCGGTCTCCCTTGATAAGCAAGGGCTGGAGGTCTCATCTGTTCCTTTTATATAGTCCACTATAAGCTCCTTGGTCTTATTGGTGTTGAGGACCAAGTTATTGTCTCCACACCACGAAAGCAACCGGTCCACCTCGTCTCGGTAGGCAGGCTCATCCCCCACCCCCACGGAGATCAGTTCCACCACATGACCCCGGGACCCTGCATCTATCATAAATATGAGTCACTTGCCAAGTGCCTAAATTTTGATCATGTGACCATGACGATGCTACAATGGTCCTAAGTGTGAAAAATGGTCATAAGTCTCTTTTATCAGTGCTGTTATGATTTCAAACAGTCACCAAACAAGTTGTTGAATGTCAAGGTCCAGTTGTAGATATTTTTTTTTTTAGAAAAATGCCATTTTCAGTGCATTGTAATTTCAAACAGTCGCTAACCGAATGGTTGGAAGTTGAGGATTAGCTGTGTCACCATTGCAATGAAATCGAAATTCAGACGCCTGGCAACTGGCATGTATTTACAATAGTTGTAGCATCCCTGGGGACACACGATCGTCCCTTGCGGCCTTCACAACCGGCTTTCCGGCAGGCAAAGTCAGTGGGAAAAGCTGGATTTGGTTAACGACCTTGTGATTCAGTTAGGCCTGTGGTGGTTTGCATAACACCAAGCGCAACTCACTTAATGACTACCTCGCTTAACGATAGAAGGTGTCAGCATATCAGCTGCCATAGAAACGGGGAGGGGTCATGGGCATTTGGGTTGGGGAAGTGAGCTGGCGTGTAGAAGTGTAGTCCCATGAGAACCCGGAAGAGAGGTTTGCACTCACGAATTGTGGCACTGCTGAGTTGGAGTTGTTTATACTCCTTCAAGGCCAACCGTCCCGAGACTCCAGAAGCAAGAAATGCCCGAAGAAGGGCTTTCCCATAACATCATACTGGATGTGGATTGGGCTCTCAGTGCTGGACTCTGGGGGGAGGGAGGGATTTGGGGTGACTTTCCATGGGTAACTCTCGTGCCTTTTGAGTCAGACCTTGCCTTGCTTTCGCCGCTATCACTTCAAACCTTCTCTAATTGGGGATTTTCTTTCTTGAGTTTTGAACAGAGGCAAGCCCTGATAGAACATCTGGTTCTAATCGTCACAAGTCAAGGATTGTCTGTAGAAAAGTCAAACTGTTTATTTTTCAAAGATGAAAACCCTCCCCACCCCCCCCAGTAAAATACAGTGTTGTTGTTGTTTTTTTAAACTTTTTTTTTTTAAGGTTTGCATCTTGCTTGAGAAAATGGAACAGTTTGGGGGCATTTCCATCCACAACAACATATCGGCATCTTTGGAGCGTCACTTGGCAGCCATTCACACAACCCAGGCCAGGCACAATGATGAGATTTTCAATGCTGGTAACCCCCGGAGGCCGGGGACATCATCGGGTATCAGTAATGAAAAAGGTAAATACTTTTGAGTTTAATTAATGGGCAAACACTGTGTTTTTTCATTAGCACTTCCGCTTAAAATCACTGTTGTTATGCAAATGCCGGTTACAGGTAGTCCTCGACTTACAACCATCTGTTTAGTGGATTTTCGCGGTTACAACAGCGCTAAAAAAAAGGGGCTTGGGGCATTTTTCACACTTGCAATATCCCCACTTGATCAAAAATTTGACTGGTTCGTATTTATGATGGTCGCAGTGTCCCCTAGGGTCGGGCGATTCCCCTTTTGTGACCTTCTGACCAGCAAACTCAATGGGGGAAGCCAGATTCGCTTAACAACTGTATTCCTAACTTAAGAGCTGCAGAGATTCACTGAAAAACTGCGGCAAAAAAAAAAAGTCGTACCGTGGGGCAAAGCTCGCTTAATAATCATCTCGCTTAATGACGGGAATTTTTTGGGCTCAGTTATAGCCATAAGTCAAGGACTACCTTTTGATTCCCGCTAGGGAATTCTGGGAGATGAAACCCCTGCATCAAGCAGTTGCTGGCCATTTTCGCCGAGGTGGGCTTGGAACTCCCGGAAGCTGCCTGGGGAATTCTGGGAGTTGAAGTCCACCTATCCAAAAATTTCGAAGGTTGAGAAACACCGCTTAAGCTTCTAACCGGGGCCATTGCTGAACCTGTAGCCAACATAAAATACTTGTATTCTTTGTTGCAGACTCCTGCAGGGGCTAAAAGATGCATGAACATATCAGTAATTAATATTGTTATTTATTAAATTTATTTACCTCCCACCTCATGATCCAGCAACTTTGGCAGGCTGGCAGAATCATAAACAGCAATACAGACCATTCAAAACTGTTAAACATTGAATAAAACATTAACAACATGCTGCAGGTAGTCCTCAACTTACAACTGTTCGTTTAGTGACCATTCCAAGTTACAACTGCACTGAAAAAAGGGATCTTTGACTGTTTTTCACACTTACGACCGTTCCAGCATCATTGCAGGTCATGTGATCAAGCCCAGACGCTTGGTAACTGACTCATATTTATGACGATTGTGGTATCCCCGGGGTCACGTGGTTCCTTTTTGCAACCTCCCTACAAGCAAAGTCGATGGAGAAGCCAGGTTCATTTAACAGCTGTGTGACTAATTTAAAAACTGCATTGATTCACTTAACATGCATGTCAAGAAAGGTCATAAAAGGGGGCGAAACTCATATAACTTGTCTCGCTTAGCAACATAAATTTTGCGCTCAATTGTGATCGTAAGTCAAGGACTACCTGTATACATCTTTCATGCTAAGCCATGAATTGATGCCATGTTGAAAAGAATCTGAATTGGCAATCTAATTGATGATGATTTAAAGCAGGAGTCGCCAACCTTTTGGACCTCAGGGATCACCAAACCCATAATTTTAAATCCCACGGACCAGAGACCCTGGGAAAATCCCGCCAAAAGTCTGCAGGAAAATTCCCCACCCCATTTTCCTACCGATCGATCATTCTTTATTTGGGATTGCAGGATACCATCTCCAGCTCCATTCTCGGGGAGAGAGAGAGAGAGAGAGAGACTTTTGGCTTCATGCAAGGAAAGCAGCAGAAGCAGCAGAAGTCTTTCCTTCTATCCCCCAAACTCCGCCAGAAACGAGTCTTTGTGAGACATGTCGCGCCGACGCAGCCTCTTGGAGCAAGATGCCTCACCGGTCCCAAAGACTCATTTCTGGCGGAGTTTGTGGGAGAGAAAGAAAGACTTTTGCTGCTTTCCTTGCATGCAGCCAAAAGCAGAAGAAGAAAGAAGCGGGAAGAAGCAGCCCGGTAGCCAGGCGAGGCACATGGGGAGAGTTCCCCCCTCCGCCCTTTCCCCGCTCCCCTCACTACCTCGTGTTGTTTGCAATGCAAGCGATGCAAGCCTTGTGTCCCGTTGGCCATGTAGGTGGCGCAGCCTTGTGTTCCTGTGCAACATGGATTAATTGCTTTGGGGGGGGGGGTGCTTTGGGGGTGACATTTCTTTGCGGACCACCAACATTTTCTCGTGGACCACCAGTGGTCCCCAGCCCACTGGTTGGTGACCACTGGTTTAAAACACCAGGGAAATATACACCGTCCAGATTATAAGCAAATTAAATGTTGTCTTCGTTGCAGAAATCCTGGCCTTGGCATCAGCTGTGAATGAGCTCACGTCCTCCACACGAAAAACCCGTACAGCTTTATGGTGTGTTGTTCAGCACATCGTCTTTCCAAAATTTGGACCAGAGTTCCTGATGAGAATGCCAGCATCCCCTTACAAACCAAGATCCTCACAGAGGGCGAAGACAAAGAAAACAAGAGAGTGAATTAGGAAGAATTTGCAGCCAGTTATGAAATGAGATACTCTTTTTTTTTTTTAATAAAAGCAGCCAATTTAATGGCTTTTTCTTGTCCCGTTCTCCCCTCCTGCTGGCATTTAAGCCAGACAGTTGCAGAAATCCTGGTGATGCAACACTGAAAAGTTGATGCAATTAAGCATATTTAATTTATTGTTTAATTTAGTTAAGCATTATTTAATGTATTTGCCTTAAGACCTCCTCATCCAAAGACATGAAGTGGCAAAACTCATGTAGCATCTTTGTTACTTTTTGCAATGCAACCTGTTTTCTTTTCTTTTTCTCAGTTTTTGGAAAATGATATTTTGGTGCCAAAGTTAACGGCAACCGGGGTGCAGTTCTCCTTTCTTTCAAACCGATTATGAATAAGACACGCTTTAATAATGGATGTGTTTATCAGGAGCTGAAGCTAAACCTGAAGTTAAATTAACCACGGACGAAGTTGCATAAAAGTCTGGAAATTTGCACCAGCATCTTGACATTTCAAGCTGGCAATCGCAAAGTTTTGGAAAGACTTTGAGGACCTTTTGAGAGAGAAAAAAATGTAATATCAAGCATTAAACAGTGTTTTAGGCTAGAATGTTAGCTACAGAGAATAAATGGATTAGCATCCAACATTTGATCTTAATTTAAGGATTGATAAAATCCACTATAGCCTGAAGACCAGCTGGTGGGTCTCTGAAAATGCAAACCCCCCCCCCCCCAAAAAAAAACCACCACCTGCATAAAAATAAATGGGAATTGAAAGTTATTTATTCCTATTTTGCACAGCTGATAGCCATTATTTTATTTGAGGTGTGCTTCCTAGGGGAAAAAAACAATTAATGATATATTTACCTTAATGAAAGATACATTTAAAAAAAATAATAAAGTATGTTTTTGATCCTTGGCCAAAGTTAATAATCAGGCTAAATGGCTGTTCTGGATCTGTTCAGGTAAGTATCATGTACAAATATGACCAATGTATTACATTTATAGAATCAGATTTTTTGTTGTTGAAACAGTTGCACAAAACTAACACTCTTTGAATCTGTTTTATTTGTAGCAGGAAGTTCACAGGTTTTGTGAGCAATCGAGTGTGTTGTGTGGCAGGGTGAAGTTCCACACTGGCAATGAGGATTTATCTCCCTTCTAAGTATTAATATTTTAACCAACTTAGAAAACCATGAGATTATCTTGGTGGATGGACTGGATAATTAACCGATGTGTTTAAATTTTATACTTTAATGACGAAGTCCTAGAAAGCAATTCTTTGATTTCATTGGAAGGAAGGAAAGAAGGAATAGAGAGGGGAAGGAAAAGAAAGGGAAGGGAAGGACAAGGGAGGAAGGAAAGGAAGGAAGGACCGTCAGAATGCAATGTTCTATAAAAAAAATGAATATATTGAGTTTAGTTTTTGTAAGAGAAAGTATATTTTTGCAGTTTGCACTCAAATGTCAGGAGTTGAAATACACTTTTAGTTGGGAATACATTTAATTTTTATGTGATGGATCTTGCAGTCTGATAAATCCGTATTTTTTTCCATATTTTTGTTCTACTTCAGGACTGTAGTAGTTACAAGTCCCTTCTAATTTCTTAATTTATAAGTACAGTATTGTTCAAAATAGGGGTTTATCATAGGTTGTTACAGTTTTAATGCACCCTAAAGCATTTAAAGCCATTATAACTACCATATGTGCCTAAGATACAATTTATCTGAGCAGTACATTTAAGGAGATTTATAACATTTCATTTCTGCAAACAAGAGACCCCCAGGGAGCAGAATTAAAATGGCCTTTCTCCTTGTATTTATTGGTTCAGACAGTTGATTTTTGTAAACAGGACCTTGTTCATTGATTCCTGCATCAGTTTCTATTTTTACTAAAGTAAAAAATCTACATACTCATTGACAAAAATGTTTGGATGTTTTCACATCTAACAGAATCAAGATGGTCTTTTTCCTTGTTGGCCTTAATTTCAGCAGTGGTGCCTTTTCCAAGTTAAATTCGTAATTTCCACCTGTTTTTTCCAAATTAAAATGATTTTACTGTTAGCAGTTCTTCTTCTCACCTTTATCAATTCTTATCTTAGAAAACCCAACTGGTATCTCTGTTAAATAACATTTATTTAAAACGATTCAATCATAGCTTGTAATAAATTTATTTCTGAAATGTCTTTGCCAAGAGAATCTGGTGCTTATTTATAGAAGGGATTTTCAATTCGACCGCCTGACACCATTCACAAATGATGTAAGCTTCCATCTTTATCATTTGCAAACACAATTTTGTGACTGTGAGGTCACCCACATACACACATTACCTTTCTGGTACAATAGAGTTTCATTTTAAGATTCTATAGGAATCCGGTGAACTTTTGAAAAAAATCAGTGTTTGTATGCACATTAAAATATTTATTTTGCTGTATGAAAACTTTGCTTATAAAAAATGCCTTGTATGATTTTCTAAGTCATTTCCATAGCCACTGTGCTGGTTAAATCTGTATGTAAGAATAATAAAAATGGGTCATATTTGCAACTTGAGTTTTGTGTACTTTTAGTTTGAAGCATGAATATGTTTCTCAAACTTCTGTTGAAAGGCTGTCAAAATGCCTTTCTTCCGAGGATTCGATTTTCCTGCTGGGAGAGCTCCGGTGCAAGGATACAGACAACTGCTTGAAAGCTGGATCTTTTTATTTTCAGGAAGGTGAGAGATAGCAAGAAGTCTGCGTTCCTGGGGCTAGCTAGCTTTGTATAATAAGCCCCTGATTTTTATACTTTTTTTCTCCTTTTGTGTGTGAGTGTTTGTATTTCTTAATGTTTTAAATCCTGTCAGGGGTTGTCTTCATTTCTGCCGGAGGGTAAACTCCGCGGGGTGGTTTGATTGGATTATCAGTTTCGTCCTAGTCTTTTTTTTTTGCTTAATGGTTTCTTATATTTGTTTTGTGGCAACCTCCTGTCTGTCTCCTTTGCAATTTATTTTGTGTCTTTTGTCTGTTTGTTTTGCTGATTTGGCATGTCTTGTGTTTGTAAGGGTTTTCTTTTCTTGTTTCCTTAGTTTTCTTAATTATTTGGGCTTTTGTCTAAGGGGCTTCTTTAATACCTTTTATTTGATTTCTTTTCCTATGCAAGTTTGTTTTATGGCTGGCTTGATGTTCCCTTTGGGCTTTTCCTGCTTGGGTGACACCACTGTCCTCGTGAAGTTCCCTTTCCACACTTCCTAGCAAAATTTATTTTTCTTACAGATACAGGTATTCCTCAGTTTACAACAGTTCAAGAGAAAAAAAATTGCAGAGAAAAAAGTGACATGACCATTTTCCACACTTATAACTGTTGCAGTATCCCCATGTGATCAAAATTCAGACGCTTGGCAACCGATTCATATTTATGATAGTTGCAGAGTCGGGGTCACGTGAGCCAAATTCACCTAACAGCCTTGATATTAACTTAACAATTGCAATGATTCACTTAACAACCATGGCAAGAAAGGTTGTAAAGTGGAGCAAAATTCATTTAAGAAATGTCTCAGCAACCTAAATTTGGGCTCAGTTATGGTCATACAATGGAGGACTACCTGTAACATAATACACAGTGCCTGTTATAATGCATGGATTTGTTATGTAGTATTTTACATATCTTTGGCTAATAATGAAAGACATTTTTTAAATGCTGTTCATGATAATGATTGGATAACTTGTTTCATTTAATCACTAATTTTCAAAATTGGCAAGTTGAAGTTGTGTGGATTTCAACACCAGAATTCCCAATTATCTATAATTGGGAATAGATAATTACGAAAGTTGAGTTTCTCTAAAACTTTATAATCAACTAGCTCTATACCTGTGCTTCACTACAAAACTATGTGATTGGGCTTAGTTTTTGAGAGGAAAATAAGGGGGAAAATTCTGCCTCTGCCTACCAGCATCCATTGGTATTCATCTGGCTAGCATTCGGTCAGTCTGTGAGAGAGTTGAGGGCTGTTTGGTGAAACATGGAAACTGAAACAGTATTTGCTGTGTGAGCAAGGAGACAGCAAGGAGCTAGCATATGGCTTAGCTCAATTGTTTTGTATTAAAGCTGGTTGCTGCTGTGAAACTAAAACCGAAACTGAAACTCCTCTCCTCTGCTTGTCTTTTGCATTTGGAAGAGATTTCTTTTCAGGTGGGGAGGGGGAGTAGAACTCCTTAGCATCAGAGCGTGTTAACAAGAATATAGGAAATACTAATGCTCTGGTGGTCATTTCGAAAAATCCTTTCTTAATGAGCACCTAGAACCGTGATGGTGAGCTTATGGCACACATGCCACAGGTGGCATTCAGAGCCATTTGTGCTGGCATGCAAGCCGCAGGCAAACTTACTTCACTGTGCATGCGCGTGCCTCCCAGCTGATTTTCGGCCTGTTTGAGGCCTTTTTCAGCCTCCCAGAGGCTTGAGGAAAGCCTTTGCAGGCTGAAAAATAGGCCCGTTTTGTTGCTTCCTGTATTTCCGGAAATACAGGAAGTGACAAAACAAGCCTATTTGTCAGCCTGCAAAGGCTGCAGAAGCTTTCCTCAAGCCTCTGGGAGGCCGAAAAAGGCCTCAAATGGGCCCAATATCAGCTGGGAGGCGTGCAGTGCAGGTAAGGGGGCAGCAAGGGGCAGAGATTTCACACGCATATGCAGGAGGCATGGGAGGATGCACAAATTGCCTTCTGGGTGCTGGCACGCGAGCGCTCCTGCACAAGCGTGCACACAATTTTTGGAACAGGAGCCCCAAAAGGTTAGCCACCAGTGACCTAAAAGCCAAGAGGAACATTTGGGCCAAATTTCAAGTTTGTAGGCTTTACGGTTCTGGAGATTTTGTGAGGATGCGTGAGTGGTATTTCGCTTTTATATACATAGATTCAGAACATATTGCATTGTATCTACCAACAATTAAGGATCTTGTGTTTTGATTATCGATCAAAATGGAATTGGATTGGATTCTTAAAGCTGCACAATTCTTTTTTTAACCTCTCTGGTGA